TCACCTTGGCTAAATCAAAACATCTATATATTTTAGAATGTATATTAATTTTGAAACTTTCTTTGTATTTGAACTCCTTACGTCAAAACCTTTAAAATGGGATCAACTCTTGTATATTTTTGAACCATGTTTAAATTCGGACGTATATTTCACATTAAAAAAAGCCAGTTTCACAAATTATACATTATAATTTCACTTTCTGTAGTTACTATTTCGCAATTTAGAACCTACATTTTCCTTTTCATTAGCTTGTTTTACAGAAAAAACATCTATTTCAATAGCACATTTTTCAAAATAACATATTTCACTCTTTTGAAAACAAACTACTACGAATATTGAAATATTAGTTTCACAATGATACATTACAATTTCACTTTTTGTAGTTACTCTTTCATAGTTCAGAACCTACATTTCACTTTTCACTAACTTGTTTCACAAAAACCATATCTATTTCAATTACATATTTCTGAAATAACATATTTCACTCTTTTGAAAACAAACTACTACGAATATTGAAATATCAGTTTCACAATGATACATTACAATTTCACTTTTTGTAGTTACTCTTTCATAGTTCAGAACCTACATTTCACTTTTCACTAACTTGTTTCACAAAAACCATATCTATTTCAATTACATATTTCTGAAATAACATATTTCACTCTTTTGAAAAAAAAAGCATCAGTTTCACATTGATACATTATAATTTCACTTTTTGTGTTTACTATCTCATAATTCAGAACCTATATTTTACATACTAGTCTGTTTCACAAAAAGCACACATTTTTCAATTGCACATTTTTCAAAAAAAACTCACTCTTTTGAAATAAATTGTTACACGTTGAAAAAAAATAGTCACAAAGTTGAAATTTCAGTTAAATTTTGGTAAAATAGGTTGCTAGTGAAATAGGTTAGTTTAACATATTTCTATTAAAATAGTATTTTTTCAATAAAATATGAAATAAGTATGTTTCACATATGAAATTGAAATTTAAGCGTGTCCGAAATGTATTCAAAATTGATCTTGTTTTAAAGGCCTTGACACAAGGAGTTCAAATATATAAATTATTTCAGAAATAGACTTATGGTTTAAAATATATGAATGATTTAGTTTAGCAAAGAATAAAACATTGGATTTATTTTGTGAGAGAAGAAAGTGTGAGCTGTCAGTTTTTTGCCATGCCTGCCATGCATGCCATGTGAAGGACAATAGTGGGAGCCAAATAGATGCATTTCATCATGTATAAATTTGGTATAGCATAAAAGTGTAAATAAATACTCCCTCGTCCCATAATATAAGAGCATTTTTTATACTAGTGTAGTGCCAAAAATGCTATTACATTATGGGACGAAGGGAATAGCTAGCAACCGCACACATCTTGATTCGGGGACAAATGGTTGATATGTTACCAGTAGGTAATGTTTACACACAAACTGACTTTGTGGGTAGGTAGAGCATGTTTTTTTTTTCAGGCAAGGCACAACACAATTTATAAGGGTGAGGGTATCCATACGATCATTTTTTTTAGCAAAGTACAATTGTATTTATTAAATAATGGCAATGGTTATAGGTATTACATTCGTATCATGAGGAATGTCTAACCAAACATGTTGTCCCCGTAACAGGCCGGCACTAATTCTGGCCAACTTATGAACTTCACAATTTGAAGTTCTAAATTCATGTACAAAACATGAGAACTAAAAGCTTTCTGCATCTCGTTGATTTCTCTTATGACCCCACTATAAGTGCCCCAGCGCCTTCAAAAATATGTTTCATCGCCTCCTTACCGTCAGACGCAATATCAAGATGATGCATACCCAAATCTTATGCCAATGATAGAGCTTCCCTGCATGCAATGGCTTCCAAAGAAGTTGACTCCACAAGGCCATGAATGACCAAAATCGAGGACACTAAATAGGCGTTGTCTCGGTCCTGACATATAGTTGTTCGAGCTCCTACATTTATGATCCATGGATACCCCAGCATCAACTTCAATCTTGATAGATCCCAATGGAGGAGGTAATCATCTCTCATGCGCCCTAACTCCAGCCGACATAGTCATCGCATGTAGCAACAATTGGTTGTTCACTTGATGGAGTTTTAAAATAGACATTGTGATGAAAATGTGAGTTGATAGAGGACTCTGATGTATGCCCTGAAGGATAATGTTTCTTCTAGCTGTCCAGGTTGCCCATAACTATCATCCTTGTCAGTTCACCATGGGATATCACATCCATCATAGAGAACTACCAGTTTCTCGCTAGAGGCTCCGTCGTGGCTCTCAGATGCTCCAATAGCTCTGGGTCTACTAAATCCCATAGACATCTTGTCATAGTACACTGAATAAGTTGTGTCTCCACGAGCCTTGCATCGCACGCACTATACAATCATGTCCAGAAGCAATGTTCTTGTGTTTCCGCACATCCTCGATTGGGAACAAGGAAAAAAATAGTGTGCTGCAGCAAAATAGCACCGACCTCAAAATATGCTAGTAGCGAGACGTTGTACACTGATATATTTAGCGAAGAAAGTCTCATTACGTTATAGCGCGATACTTTTTTCAGTAGTCCGGAGTGAGTGTTTTCATAAGAAAACTTTGAGCTTTGCAGGAGACATAACATTCCACATGATGTCCCAAGATTTTTCACAAGCTGGATTATTTGACGAGTCAACTCTCTCATCAAGCCAATCTTCCCTTCTCTTTTTAGTTGCAACGATCATCCTGCAGGCCGACTGGACTATGAAAACCTTCGACTTCTCAAAATCCCATGACCAGAAATCATCAATGTTACATATCGGGATTTGCAAGATAGCCGTGGCTTCATAAGGAAGGAAAACTTGCACGAGGATCCTAGATGTATATATGTTTGATATGATTGTTGTTGAATCACTAGAATAATTTATGTCCCCGTTGCAGCACATGGGCAATTAGCTAGTAAGTTTAGCCCTCATTTAAGGAGTGAGCATTTACTAAACAATACTTATTTAGAATTGATTTGTACATTTGGTAGAAAGAAAACTTGTGAATGAAGAATCTTCGGGGTAGAACGGGAGGGTACTTTTCTCTACTGCTTGTTTGGTTGGGGGGAGTTGTTGATTGGGAATGAGAGTTTAAGATAAGTGAGACTTAAAATCCTTTGATTGACTCAGGGACATGCGAATTAAGAAAGGAGGGGGAAGGGGAATTAAGAGGGCCAACTCCCTCAGATCTCTTCCCTAGGGACCCCTGGTAACTGAATTGAGGGTTGGGAATTAGCAAAAAAGAAAAACGTTTCGTTGGTTGTTCACGTTGGTGAGGGACCTTTGGTTAGCTGAGTACGTACGTGAGGGAGGCATTCCCCTGCCTAATCCCACCAATCAAACAGGGGCAGTTAACTTTCTCTTAAAATCCTACTTATAATTGCCTTCACATGCCAAACAGAGGAATGAGACTTGAAATCAATTTCCCATCTCTAATCCCTTGACAAACTCCCATCTCTAAACTCCCATTCCCTCCCCCCGTTGTTACCAAACACGCCGCTAGTGTTTGGAAAAGAAAGAAAGAGAGTAAAGAGGCAAAGTTAAAAAAAAAGAGTAAAGAAGCAACCTAAAAAGGGTGAAGGTGATCCCATGGGCCGAAACGGCTGGAAGCAGGGTTTTTTTATAAGAACGCAGCCGTTCTTTTTTACTCTTTTTTTAGAAACTTTTTTTTTTGGAGAATTTTGGGAAACTTTTTTTAGTCTTTCGTGCAGAGGCATAAGCTCTATGGAGGCCCAGCACGGGGTTTCCCGGTGGGGGTAAAAGCTGAGTCCACACTGGGCTGGACAGCCCAAGTGCTCAGGGTCGCACAAGGGAGGTGCATGGGAGCTGGAGCTGGCGTCCACAGTGCACTGCACAGACCCAGGCGCAAGCTCTCTCCCTCCCGTGACAAAAAGTGGCGGTGCAGGTGCGGCCACGTCACCAGCTCTCCCTCTCCCCGGGCGTTGACGCACACGGCGAACGGGCAACCATCGCCACATGGCCTTTGACCCGTGGAGTTTTGCTTCCTGGCTTCCTGCTCTCTCGCCGCACAGTCTCAGCAAAACGGTCTCCCACGTGCGCGCTGGCCGTCGACTTGTTTTACGCCCGTGGAGTGGAGATCGCCGACGCCAGTGCAAAGCGTGCGGACGCAGAAACGCCCGCGCCGTGGAAGCTGGGAATCGGACTGTACATACACTCGACGCCGCTCCGGGGTGGCTGAAAACCAGCTCAGCATTGTTTGGTTTGCTTTGCTTCACGGTGGTGGAGTTGAGTGGGCTGGGGAGCAGGAAGGCACGAGCAGACGAGCACTTCGATCCGAGGAGGATGAGTTCGAAGCGGGGCGCACACCAGCGCACGCCACGTACTGTATGATGCATCTACAGCGTACTCAATCAGATGGACCAACTGTCGGATCGAAATGCTCACGTCGCACCCACCATGCAGTTTAATTTACGCTGTACGGTCACCTCGGTTATTAAAAGAGGAAGATGGTTTAACTTTTCACCGACGAGTTCGAAAGCTGCCGCCTCAGCCGATCAGCATACGGTCCACGGTCCACCCACCGCCCGAAATGGTAAAAGTCAAAACGCAGTCTCCACTCTCCACACGCGCGCGAGCTCTCCTTCCCCCTCTCTCGTCCCATCTCCACGCCTCGCTACTCTGTCGCCAGCCTGTTCTCCACGGTAAAAACAGCACAGTAAAAACCCAGCTACTAGCTGGACTACCTCGCTCTCTCCATCTCTCACCTCGCACTCCTTCCCCATTCTTCCGCTTTGACCCAGCACGAGCAGAACCCGGAAGCGAAGCCAGCCAGCCACGGCAGAGCCAGAGCGCCCATCGTCACATAGCATAGCCTGCACGCCTCGACGCCGACCCCTATATAAACACAGCCACTATTCCCCCCGCCTCGCCCCCCTTCCGGCCTCCCCTATCCCCCCCACCGCGGCAGCTAGTCCCGTTCCCACACCCGCGCCACCGTCCTCTCCGCGGCGCCGCGCCAATGCGCCACCCCTCGCCGCCGCCGGAGCTCCCCGCGGCCGGGGGCGAGATCCAGGCCATGGCGCCCACCTCGGCCGCGGGCTCCTCCAGCACCGGCGGCAGCGGCGGAGGCTCGTTCACGGCGCTCCTGGGGCTCCCGACCTCCCAGGCCATAGAGCTCCTGCTCCCCGGCGCGGCGCCGGCGCCCGCGCCCGCCTTCCCCTCCGACCCGCACCTCGTGGACGGCGCCGCCCGCTTCTCCGCCTTCGCGTCGCCGTCCCCGTCCCCGACCCCTCCTCCCCCCGCCTCCGCCGCCAAGCGCAAGGCCGACCCCGCCTCCAAGGTATGCACTATAAGCGTGACGCACCATAGCCTGCCCTCGACGGAGCGAGAGGTCTGATCGTTTTGTTCTGCGTGCCTTGCTGCAGGGGAAGGTGGCGAAGAAGGGGAAGACGACGGCGGGCGGCGGCGAGGACAAGGACTCGGGCGAGGACGAGAAGCCGGCGTACGTGCACGTGAGGGCCAGGAGGGGCCAGGCCACGGACAGCCACAGCCTCGCCGAGCGGGTGAGTTCCTCCCTCCGCCCCGTCCACCGCTAAACCCCCAGCAAAACTAATCGTCACGCTTAGTAAACCACCACCACGGCCACGGGATTAGACTAGATTTTGCAATGATTGGGCGATTAGGACCTTCTGCCGCCGCTTTTAGGGCCTTTTCAGGGCCTTGCTTTGGTTTGTGATTATAATATTACTACTCGATTAAACTATCCATTCATCCATTTTTGTTTTCCTCGTGCTAATTTCTCTCTTGTAAAAACAAATTAAAAAAACGCAGGCGAGACGGGAGAAGATAAATGCGAGGATGGAGCTGCTCAAGGAGCTGGTCCCCGGGTGCAGCAAGGTTTGCAGTTCCTTCTTACCCATCCCCTTCATTTTGACATGTTTATCCATCCGTTTTGCACCTCATTCTCACAGTTGAACCAACAGTAACTCAGAAGAGTCCCCCCACCCCCCTGAAAAGATAAAAACGCCAAGGAGCTCTAGTGGCGCCAAGGCCCTCACACTCTGTGAACTTTGGCTGCTACTACGCGCAAAGTAGTACCACCACACATCTTTCTCCTGCTTTCGGTGCTTCTTTTTACCGCTCTGGGCGCCACCGCAGCTCCACCGTAGAGAGTTCAGACGTAGCAGCGTCTTGGGTGCGGTACGGTATGGACCGCGTGTGCACACGGCTCACTCATCTCTAGATCATACGAGTAGCACACGTCTCGCACGGGAGAGCTTAAAGCCCAGTCGCTCTCGCGCCTCGGGGGACAAGTACATATGGGCGTGTTTGCACGACGGAAGTGGGGAAGTACTAGTGGTGGCCTTGGTTACTTCCTCGTCTCGTGGACGACGGTCTGGTGCGCCTAACACGAGCGGGGAGCGGATGGGGTTCGGCCGCGGCCGCGGCTGTCTGGGCAGAATGTGGCAGCCGCCTCGAAAGGCGCCGGGGGAGGCTAGCCCGATGGGGGGAGGGTCGCTGGGACGGACGGACGGACGCCATTGATAGTCCTCCCCCCTACCATTGGAGTGTTGCTATCTCCCCATGCGCACGCAATAATGTCAATGCTCCCATGGGTAGGCATGGCATTGGCATCCTTGGGTGTGGAAGCGAAGCCCGGGTAGGTTTGCCAATGGCAATGGGGGATGGATGGATGGACGGTCTTCTACTCTTCGTGCTTCATTAATGTGTGGATTTATGGAAAGGTGGTTGGCGTGTAGTAGTGGTATCTGTTCGGTGGTTTCTGACTGTCAGGATGGCCGGCAGCCTTGCGATAGAGGTGTCAAATGCCACTCGCTGTGAGAAGATTGGTGCTACTACCCTCTGACGATTCTCCTGTGTGTGTTGAGTGAACTGCGTGGGTGCCAGTATCAGCGGATCGCCTTGCTGCTTAAAACATTCTGAACGATTGTAATCATGTCTGGAAGTTGCAAAAGTGGCCTGCCTAATGTTGGCTGGAACATAGCACAAATGACTGACGAGATCGATCAGGATACCAGGCACCAACTTCTACAGATTAGTTCTGCAATCAGATTTGGCACTGCCTTAGTAGTACTACCTTACCTATACCCATAGATGACATGGCTTTCTCGATGCGGCAATTTTGATTATACCATTTTTTCCTTTTTCTCTCAAAAGGCTGTTGATGTCGACAGCCCTACCCTGTAACAAATCTGAATTTGACGTTTTTCTTTTTGCGAAAAAAAATAATCTGAATTTGACTTTGAGTGGGCTGTCATATTCTTTTTTCTTTCCTTCCATTACATCGTCTAATATGTCGTGCAATAACCGAGCAAAATGAGTCACAGTACTTCTCCCTTTTACAAAAAGAACATGATTGACTTGAGGAGGTTTACTTGATCTGTGGGCTGTATCAGGTATCAGGAACAGCGCTGGTACTGGAGGAGATCATCAATCATGTTCAATCCCTTCAAAGACAAGTCGAGGTAACTACTGTTGCCCATTGTAAGACCTGTTCAATCATCCTAAATACCATTTCAGCTCACACAAACTTAACACACAATTCCTTTTAGGTGTTTCCCAATTGGGTTTCCACTCCTCCTAATAGTTTTCTTCTTTTGCTAATTGTGGTTGGTCCAGTACCTGTCAATGAGACTCGCAGCAGTAAACCCAAGGGTTGACTTTGGTGGGCTAGACAACCTTTTGACTACAGAGGTATGCTTATTTTGTCAATCTTTTTCTATCATGAACTTTTCAGAAGTTAGGCTTGCACGGATTCATAGAAACAACTATTTTGCGGCATTTTGTTTCCATATAACCATTAAAGATCATTGTAAACTGCACTCTGTGCGAAGTCCTTGGTCAAAATTTCCTAATCAGAATAGCCCTCTTCCCTGCATTTAGCTGCTTCATTTATTTTGACTGTTTTCTATTGAGATAATCAGCTTATGGAGAGAATCCTATGCCACCCACTACAACGACATTGAAATATGTTACTGTCCTTGTCCGGTTAAAAGGAAATATTTTTACTGAACCCAGCAATTGTAAGCAACTTTACCACTACGAGACATGTACATGCCAGTTATTGTCCTCCAACCAATGCACACAACAAATGGGGACTTCTAAATTTGGGAATATTAAAATTGCCAATCAGTAGTGCTACCATTTGCGGTGCTTCCTGATCTTCATGGTTTCACAAATGTTTCCGTGTGCGCACGTGCGTGGAAGTTATCTGCCATTCTGCTGTAGTTGCCTATTGATTTATTGTTACTCCATTTGTAATTTTGCCTTCAGAGGAAAAACGACGCTGCTAGTAACAGGACTAGTAAAATATATATTATTGAAACTTGAAACAATGATAAATTGAGAATGCTCTGGACAAAACAATTTTACACAGCAATATCATTTGAGCAAATTATATCAGTATATAGATAAAAGTGACCGATGTTGAGGATATATCAATTGTTGTTGCATTTCCAAAATAACCTGCAAAAGCTAATAATTCAGCACCTGTTCCTCTTTATTCCTCAACCCGCTGTTAATCTGAAAATGCTAACTGCGGTGTCTACAGTGTGGAAGGATAACAGGTTTAAACTGCAAGAGTGGAATGGACTTGGAGCAAGTCAGCTGGCCCGACATGGGCGTCCATGGAGCGAGAAATCTTGCGCAGCTACAACAGCAGTTCTGGCATGGTGATTTAGCACATCCACAGCAAGCAGCTTCACCGTGGGAAAAACGGGGGGACGTACAACCTCCTGTCTTTAGCAACACCAGCTCCTCTCTCTTCGGCTACGATCTCGCAAGCTCTGGTAAAACTATGAGCACACACACCTTTAACCTACTGTCTAACTGAATTAAGTTGCTTGTCATTTACTTCAAAGTTTCTCAGCCTTGCGTGGACCACCACCGTTGTCTCTTTCTCTGTCCAGAGTGTTTTGAATAGATAGGTGAATGCAAAACGTGTGGTGTAGGCGTGTAGCTCAAAATGTGAGAATAGTGCATTCTACTACTAGGGGAATAGCTGAAGCTTCACAGAAGATAATCACTGAACACTATGCCCTAGCCCTTTTACTGCCACGATAAATATCGGATATCCACATTGCTCTGTGCAGAATTGCAAGTTAGGCGAAAAAAGAAAATAAAAACTCATAGAAACGTGTAATCTTCTTGTAACAAACATTACTGTGCAGAAATGTACTCCCCTTTTAAACTAGTGTGGTGTCAAAAACACTCTTATATTATGGGACAGAGGGAGTAAGTAATTTAAGTTGCATCTCGTTTGACACACCTATTATAGATTACAGGCCGAAACACATAGCTGATGAACATTCATTCAGTAGCAAAAAGGCAGGAGCCTGTAACTTAAATCGAAAGATTTCGGAATGCATTTCTCTGATCTTGCCCGATTTCTTGGTTGGTCATTCAATCATTATTGCCATCATCACCAGTATTTTGGGTGGTAGGGGCCATGGCTGTGTTCGTCCGGTGGATCTGTTCTCTCTGGCACCGGCGGACCCAACTGGTTGGTGCGGCTGGGCCCAAATCAATAAATGCCGTGTCTAGAAACCCATGGCGCCCCCCGTCTTTCCGTTTGGGCTTGGCTGCATAAGGCCTGTAGATGCAGATCTGGTCCCTTTAGCGCTTCTGACCACACGGACAACTGTGATGGGCCCACCGTTCTGTATGCTGTCCATTACATGTCTGGGGGATCCCCTTTCCTGTAATGGGGGGTTGCCAGCTACAACCACCTTAACCCCAGTGGCCAGTGCCACGGCCTCCAGCATTGGGCTGTGGTTGCTTCCACTGTAAATGTCTATCTTTTTGAATTAAAAGAGAGTAGTGAAGTGCAAGCATGAAAAGTAAGTGGCAGTCGATTTGGTACGTGCAAGGATGGATTGTGAGGCTAGGATTTAGGTACTTGTGGCCCTCGGAAAAAATAAAACCATTGATGTAGATCATGCCGGAACGTGAGCAACTGCGCAAAATCGTGCGAGTTATGATGAAATGTCTGCTGTACAACAGTCTTTCTTTTTCTTTTTGCAGCTGCACTGTTCAAATAATGTGAGTGCAGCTTATGTTAACCGATCACATTGTACAGACTACAGATGCAAATGTTTTAACATAATGTGCACATGTTAGTTCTTTTTAGATCTTTTTGAGATGCAAAAGTAGCTATACCTGAAACCCATGCACCCTCTTGCGTCTACAAATACAATTGACGCATAACCCGCCTGTATTGTTTAGATTTTGGCATCAGCTGGCATACACCCCTGCCATCTGGCCAATTTATTCCACTGCCCTGGCAGTTCAAATAGGCTGAATCCAAGTGACACAGAAACTTCCACAATAACTCGTACCATGTGACAATCTCTCTAGCTAAAGATGGAGCAGCATCACTGGATAGTGAATACTGACATCGACATCTTGTTGTGAAACCAATTGCTTTCTTGCAGTGTACGGGGGCAGTTTATAGGTCAATTCTATAGCTAAACAACCATGTGACTCTTGTCCTGAAACCAAGCGGGTCAGCTCCGTGGTTTAGCAACCACTGTATGTTGCACTGCTTTTGTTGAGATCGTTACTGCTCTTGCGCTACCACTAAGAGAAAAGTGAAGGGAAGGCCTAACAGCCTTGGCGACCTGCCGTTCGGATCTGGGGCAATCGATATGAGGCTCTGGATCCAAGCAGAGTGCATTTTGGAGAG